TCATATTTATATTTTACTGATAGAGGTAGTATAATTCTCTATACTGACACAACAGTGGTTCAAAACAAATCAAATCTTTGCTGGGACTGTGTCATTTTTCTACAAAAACAATTTCATCAAAATAATTTCAAAGATAAATTCCTTAAATAAAGGATATTCTACACATGGTTTCTCCAATGTGTCACATCTGATTTTACAAATGTTTTACAGATAATTACTGGCATGCATCATGTGAACACAGAATAAAATATAATAGCTAAAATTACTTACAAAGTATTTGAGCTCAGAGTAGGTTCCTTCTGTAACTTCAAGGGTTGTTTGAGCTTGTTTGATATCAATAAGCTCCCACTCTCCTCTGGTCTGTAGCACGTCCCTGGACTCCTCCAGGATCTCTGCAGCTGAATGTCTTTGATTCATCTCTATGTCTTCAGCTGGAATAAAATTGTAGGAAAGTTTGTTTATATTAGATCTAATGCCTATTAGATTATCTCTGTGAAATGTTTCTTGTGATGCACATGAGTAGAGTGAAGTTGTCTACATCAAAGTTGAGGTCATTCAATTCAGGCCCCAAAGGTGTCTAAATTAATTCATTTAATTCTACTGAAATTTCATTTAACTTTTGTGTTTGTAGTTTTAATGTTTGAAAACACATAATTTCTACAAAAAATATCAATTGCCCTCTTAAATTGTGTGACTAATCTACCATCATTATTATGAAATACTAGTTGCAGTTTTGAGATCAGGTGTTATCTTTTGAATTTTTTGCATGCTTACCGAAGTGCAGGTATGGTTCAAAGGTCAGCGAGCAGTTTTGGATATCAAAGGGGAAAGTGTAGATGACTAATTTGCAGGTGGCGATCACTCTGATCGGCCTATCATCAAATACATGACCTGTGTTGTATAAGTAGACATATGGGGTTTTGGGAGATTTGTCCTCGTCCATGCTGGAAATGAACAGAATAAAAAATGACTTAATTGCACATTTATACTTTTAAAAGATAGGTTTTTGTTTTTTGTTTGACAGGCTACGATACTTAATTTTAACTTACAACTCATTGATGACGATGTCTGGGACCCAAAGCTTTTCTCGAGGGACAGAGACTCTTGTAGTTCCACATTCCTTCTCATCCCAGCTCAGTCCCGCTATATGCCACTCCTACATTAACCAGAACAACAACCATTTGCACTGTGACACTTCATACTTGTTATACTTTCATCTTAAGGTTAAAGGTACAATTTTTTAGGATTTCGGGGGATATATTGATAGAAATGGAATATAATTAGTGTATAAGTATCTATATAAGTATTTAAGTGTATAATTAGTTAAAAGAAGAATCGTGTTTTTGTTACCTTAAAATGTGTTGTATACAGTATATCTACATAGGGAGTGGGGGTCCATTCCAGAAAGCAGATTTAAGATACTATGAGTCTTAACCTGAATTCTGAGTTGATGAACCCTGAGATGGGATTCAGATTCAGAAGAGCTGAATCACTTCAGTCAACTCTGAGTTAGGTTTGTGCGCAGTGAGTGAAAAAAGCCAAAATCAGTGGAGCTTTGATATTACGTCTCATCATGGTAAATAATCTGCAGGGCCTCCATTTTAATCCAGTGGATGGAGAGACTTACATATTACTGATGTTATATTTTATGAATTCATGTAACAAATAAACTGATTGATTGATTGACTGGCTCAGATGTTAATGATTGGGATGTGAGTTCCACTGCCGGCAGGATTACGATAAATCTGTCATGTCCTAGTTAATTTACAGGCCTATCTCATACACTTAAATTCACTGCATATCACACGTTTCTTATAGATCCACTTTGTTAACATTTAAATGCAGCAGTGTTATTTATATTTGTGCCAGTGAGCCATAACTTTTTAATATACGCAACTCTTGATTGCAAAAGATGTGTCACCTTAAATCTCAAATCAAATCCCCCCCAATATTTCATTGCCACTGTCTCACCATCACATTCCCCACTACCAGAGTGCAGAGGAGGGGGTTGCAGCCAGATTTCTTACAATCTTCAGAAATTTAACCACATTTGTATTAAGTGTGTGCTTTTGTTAAAGAAAAGTTTTTAGACAATTTTCTAAATTCAATCATGCTTTGTCAGTGCTCACTTACCAGGATTTGCCATATGAATACTGTTAAGGTCTGGTCTTTTTCATTCTAGGGATGAGAAACATACAGTTAATAATGATGATTCAAATTTACTCACAGAATACTTTGTTGAAAAAAATATGCATCTTTTTGTGCTGTCATGAATAGATTTTTATGCAGCTCATAGACTCACCACTCCTAAAATTCCCACTATAATCAGTTCGATGGATACGTTCAGGATATCTGTAAAGTTTTTTACAGGTCGAAGTAGTTTTCTAGGAAATAATTCAGTCTCGAATGCATCAAACAAGGCCTCAGGAGTTGGGCTGGTGCAGTTCAATGGTGCAACAAAACCTGTGTTGAAAAAGCGAAAGAAGAAAACTAAATTAATACATAGGTATCCCAAATAAAAGTTTTTTTTCTTTTTTCTGTATTTGCTCAAAGACAGATCTTCTTTGTATGCTATACAGAGTTTTGTTAAGACTAAGACCTCTTCATATCATCCACATGAAAATACAGTGATCCATTTTCAGCACTTAAAACAGCTGCTATTAAGGTGGTCAGTGCCATTATTGAGGGACTGGAATGCAAAAAAATATTGTGCAGGTCTTTTCATCCATTTTTTCAAAGGCCTTTGACACATTAGACCATGCTACCTTGGCAGATAGACTCTGGACATGCTGTATGCTGTTTGCTTATTTGTCAGGTACAACACAATGCGTTCAGTTTGCTGGGTCTTCCTCTGCATTACTCCCTGTGTTAAAAGGTGTTCCTCAGGGTTCCATACTGGGGCCATTGTTGATTTCTATACATGTAAACAATCTCTGTGACAATTTATAGAATGCTGCTTACCATTTCTACACAGATGATACTGTCATCTATTGTTCATCCCCTCCAGGGGTAAAAGCTCTAGAATACCTACAGTCTTACTTTGACGTTGTGGGGACCCACTTAACTCAACTTAAGCTGGTGTTAAATGCAGAAAAATCCAAATTCATGCTATTTTTAAATGGTAAAGAGTTAACATCTAATCTTCCAAAGATCTTAACTGCTCAAGGGATTGAAATTGAAATGGTTACAACTTACAAGTACTTAGGTATCATCATTGATCAGAACTTGTCTTCCAGACACATATTGAAAACCTCCAAGCTGAAGGTTGAATTGGGCTTCTTTGTTAGGAACATATCTCAATACTCCCTACAGGCAAGGAAACACTTAATATCTGCAACTTTTTTACCTCTGCTGGATTTTGGTGATTTGCTTTTCATGAATGCCTCTGACCAGTGCCTAAAGAAGTTAGACACTTTGTACCATTGTGCTTTGCGCTTTATTACTGGTTGTGGAAATCGCATACACCACTGTACTCTATATGCTGCTGCTAATTGGCCATCTTTGCATGTTTGCAGGCTTTCGCATTGGTTGGTTTTTATATATAAATCTATTCTTGGCCTGTCTACATACATGTGTAGAAAAATCAATATGTCCTGCACTCTCACAATATTCTACAAATGCTGGTTCCAAGGGTGAGAACAGAACTCGGCAAAAAACCCTTTTAAATATGCTGCTCCTTTGTCCTGGAATAATCTACAGGCTGTGGAGGAATTCAAGTCGATTTTAAAGGATCCACACATATGTCCAAATAAATGTTTGGATATATGTCTGGACATACATGTGGATATATATATACATATCCACACGTACGTCGAAACAGTCATTCTGCGGCTTGCTCTGTTTACCATGTACTCACTCTGCTTGTCATTGCAGATCCAGCCACTCCCTCCTGCCCTCCGCCATTTCCATCATCTGACCTTCCCCACCCACAAACTCACCTGCTTCACATCAGCCTTGTAGTATACAATATATCCAGATCCGTCTCCACCCACTGCCTATCAGATTGTCTAGTTTAGTCCACCCCACTTCCTCAGCCTTCTTTACTACTGGCAGCCTGTCATGTTACTGCCTACCAAACTTAGTCTCACAACCTCTCACCTCAAAAGACATTTTTAGTCACACACTATAAGATTTTGAAAAGACTGAGGATCTCGCAGGGTCACTATTTGCAATACTACAGGTAGATTTCTTTTGAGACTGTTTCCCATCCTGCTCTTGGTAGAAAATATGATGCCAAACTTCCTCAAAGAAATCTGATATATCAACAATTCCTTACGTATCCACAAAAACACATAACTCTAGAAAAACAAGTTAGAAGGCCTCATATGTTGACAGTGTGATTGTCAATTCAGCATTGATACAATATATAAAAATCAAGTGTATTTGTGTTCAAACTTTACATTTTGGATTTTGTTGCCTCAACTCACCACCAAACTTTGTTGGTCAGCTGCTCTATGTAGTGGTAGGAGACGATGGGAAGAACAAGCAAACTGTTAAATATTAATATTTAGGATTTATCCTTAAAATAAATGCTGGTTGGTGCCCCACCAGTTTCTCCTCCTTTCCCACGGTATAAGAGAACTGAGACTTGTTCACATATTTGCTCCTCGCTGGAGTCTCAGGTCGGCACAAGTTTGCCTGTCTGGAGAGATCACCTGGTTTTGACTCCTGCCTGTTTTTGGACTCCAGTAAATAGGCACTCTTACATAACACTGACTGTCTTTGTGTTGTGCTTTGGGGCTTGAGCTGGTTGCATTTTTGAGCCGTTGCACTTTGTGTCATGTAATTAACATGAATTGTACATTAGGTGTAACTTAGCAAAATGCCAATATAATCTAAGGGTCTTACGTTATACTCAATTATTTTTAATGAGCTGTTTGCATGGCTGTAGACTCTTATTCTTGACCTATGTTCTACTTCTCTCAGCTTTACTTGCTACAGTAAATTACTGGTTAGTGGAAAGCTGTTTAGTCGATTAAAATAAAACACATTCCACAGATTTTTAGTCTTTTTGGATCAAAATTTTATTTAAATTCTCAAAACTTTAAATTGTTTTCCATTGCCTTTTCACAAACAGTTCATAAACATCTTCTGACAGTATTCATCAAAGTGCCACAAAACTGTTATAAAACACATATCCAGTACAAAGTTGTATAAAATTCAAGGCAACTTTAAAACTTCACTATCATGTAGTCTGTTTGTTTTTCTTGCTTTTTGACATACCAAGATAAAGTCTTAAAACATACAAACATTTCATCATATGTGAGTTTACTTGGTGTTCAGTTTTTGTTTATTTTTTACAAATAATTTTGAAAGTTACAGTTTCTTAAAGCATTACCATGGGAAAAGGCTTTCTAGGTTTACTCCAGTATTTGACACATGAGCTTTTTTTTTTTTGAAATTTGTTGCTAATTTGTTAGATAGCATAAATTATTTTTTTCTTACCGTAAAGCAGTGAATAACTGATGAAAAGGAGCCCAGCTATCTTTACTTCTTTCATCTTGCTTGTGTCAGTGCTATGTTCAGTGACCTACTTTCATGATTTGACCCAATGTTTTAAAAGGTAAAATTGGACAGTCTGAGGTAATAGTGTTTCTTGTTTCTGATTGGCTCAACTCAATTTACAGCTTTTCCTTCTGAATAATTTGCATGCATGTCTTGTTTGTCAAAACAACAGTGTTGAAAATTTGACCATAAACTAGTCAGGCAAGGATGTCTGCATGTATCTTATGTCAGTTTTCAAATATTGTCAAAACACAGTCCTGGACTTGTCTTACTTACAGGCTTAGGGAAGAAAGCAAATAAACTGAGCACAAAAAGGAAGGAACTTTGTGTTTGGTAGATTTCTTTGTTGTAACAATGCTTCTTGGCAATAAATCTTATTTCCCTTTTAAATGGTGCCACATTTGTACGGAACATGTGTTTGTGGGATGAGCAGCAGAGCTGAGTATGTTGGTTGCGGCCATGAAAAATTTGCCAAATCTTCTCTGCCAAGATTCAAGGTTCAAGGTATCTTTATTATCCCCAAGGGGAAATTTGTGTCACAGCCAGCAGTTAAAGCAAAGACAACAATTATCATAACAAATAAATAAACAACCACAAAAGAATACACAAATACATTTAGCAGCCATTTAAGAGGTTGATAGCAATTCAATTCAAATTCAATTCAAACAACTTTATTAATCCCACAAGGGGCAATTAGTTATGAGCAGCAGGTTGTCGTGATACATGTAGCCTACATGGCACACAATAAATAATAAGTACATCAGACAACATCATACATATACACACACCAGGAGCTTAGTGTGGAATAATAAGAAAGAGCCTATGATAGCCTATAAAAAAGAAAAAGAAAAAAAAAGGCTTCTTAAGAACACACACACACATTCCTTCAACGAATTAAGAAAGAAAGAAAAAAAAAGAATACAACCCTATGAAGAGTTTAAAAGTCTGAGTGCAGAGAGGATGATTGATTTGGAGAAGCGGTTTGTTTTACACACAGGTAGGACATAGCGGCGTCCTGAAGGCAACAGAGACCTGCAAGAACATGAGTCGGAGAGGCTAAAATGGACTCTGCTTTTCGGAGGATTTGCTGGTTGCAGAGGCAACTTAAGTCTCTTAATTTCACTCCAATAATCTTAGAGCAGGACTTAACAATACTGGTCAGGCTATTTCTGTCTTTAACTGAAAGACAATGAAACCAGCAAATAAAAGAAAAACACACAAGGCTCTCAATAAATGCTTGATAAAATCAATAGAGTATAACAAGCCTGACAGAGAAAGAGTTTAGTTTCCTGAGAAGATGAATTCTCCGTTGCCCTCGCTTCACAATAAAATCCGTGTTCACATCAAATTTGAGATGGTCGTCAAAAATGGTCCACAAGTATTTGTATGATGAAACAATTTCGACTTTTTCGTTACGTATGATGCACTCAGTATGAGTGTCCTTCTTATGTCTAAAATCAATAATCAATTCCTTAGTTTTGGATACATTTAAATCCAAAAAGTTACAGTCACACCAGGAAATAAAATCAATTAGCTCTCATGGTTTGATTCTGAACAGTGCAGTGTCATCTGAAAACTTAATCAGATAGCTATCCTCCTGCCTGCTCCTGCATTCATCAGTGTATATGATAAAAAGTAAGGGCAAAAGGACGCACCATTGGGGTGAACCCGTGGAAGTGGTTACAGAGTCAGAGAGAAGGCCATTAACAGAGACTCTTTGCTCTCTGCCAGTAAAGAAATCTAAAATCCATGACACAAGCTGGTGAGACAATTCAAATTTAGACACCAGCCTCTCTATTAAGAAATGTGGCTGCATTGTGTTGAATGCTGAAGAAAAATCAGCGAATAGGAGCCTGGCATGGGCTTGTGGTTTCTCTAAGTGTTTGTAGAGGTGATTAAGTATGAAAAGCTTTGCGTCCTCTACACCTTTCCCTGCCTGATAGGCAAATTGTAATGGATCAAATCCCTCTATAGAAGATATGACCAGGCCTCTGGACCAGGGGCATTCCTTATATTGACCTGTTTTAAAAGATCTCTAACATGATCCTGCTCAATGATAATGTTAGAATCAGAGATAAGAGACTCTCTGAGTAGGGAAATGTTATCAGAAAAGTCATGCTTTTCAAAGCGTGAATAAAAACTATTAAAAACATTCGGAAGGTCAGTCATGTTTATTCCCTCAATTTTAATAGGATTCCTGTCACTTCCACTACTTCTTTGAGAGATGAAGGACATTGTCTTTATTCCTTTCCAAGCTGCCCAAAGATCTCCACTGGTGTATTTGTGTTCCACCTTATCCCTATAAACTCTTTTAGCTTTCCTTATCTCGCTCCTTACCGCTCTGTTAATTTAAATAAAGCAGCAGGGATAAATGATTTTTTGAACCGATTTGTTCTGCATTGGGGGAGATTATATCTGCGTCCTGATGGTAGCAGCACGAAATTGCCATTCCCTTAATGGATGGCTTGGGTCAAATATATTACATTTATTACAGGTACCATCATCATTGAAGTAGGCAGGGAAATAGCTAAACACAGCAGAGACCGAGAGTGAGTGAAAGACATCGCTAACTGCTAAACTAAGTTTAGGGGAGGCGAGTGGGGGGTAGGGGGATGGGGGGTGGAGAGCAGAGGTAGAGGGAGGTGTGGCTCATGACACACTTTGTTTTGGTCTACAGGCAGTGCACAACAGCAAACCTAGCGGTGAAACAATTTCGCTTTTTGCCCCTTTAAGCCAAGTTTCAGTGAAGGCAAGAAGACAGGCACTGTTGTACTTGGCCTGGAGCTGGAGCTTGTCAATTTTTTTACGAAAGGACTGGACATTGGCGAGGATGACTTTAGGAAGGGGGATCCTCCAGTGTCCCTGAGCCTCTGTCGCATGCTGCTGCGTCTCCCTTTTTTCCTCACCGTTGGTTTGGACACCCGGCTCCGGATCCTTGCAGAAGGGTCCGGCGGCTAGTTGATCTCTACAGGGAGAACTGCAGAGGGGCCCACGGTGCCCACACTGGTGCTGCACAATAGCAGAAGAAATTCCCGGCTATACTGGATAGAGTCTGCATACATGGCGAAGCTGCGTACAAAGTGAAAAGTCAGCGTTAGCAAGAGGAAAAGACCCATCATCTTAGGGTGAGTCATCAGGTTGCCTCAGTTCATATGCAGATCAGTTAAAAATGGGTTAATAATGACAATAAAAAACAGGAAAGACAAGACAGGTTAAGAACCACAATTCTAACCGTAAGAACGGTTTAAACCAGTTAAAAAAACATTTTTTTCCAGACGCAGACAGCACACTCTCACCCACTGCTGCTGCATGTCACCTTGACCAGCACCATGTCTCAAGAAACACAATGGCAAACAGCTTTTTTTTGCTGTTGTTTTGAGCCTCTGGTACCCCCAAGTGCTGACAATCAGGTGCCTGATTGGCACTTGATTGTCAGCACCTGTGAGCATGGGCCCTGCTACAGTGGTCAGTTGGTGTCTGCTCCAAGAATCGGCATGCCACATTTGACTGATCTGGATCGGGTCTGTCCGATAGGGCAACTTCAAACTGGTGTTGCACAAAACCAAGTTGCGGCATTATTTGGAGTGAACCCTACCATCTGCAAACTGAAGGCCAAGTTCCATATAAGGGGGGATGTCAGAGACATGTGGGCGTCCAAAGAAGATGGCACCCCAAGAAGACCGTTTTCTCATCCTGTCAGCACTTAGGAACCATAGGCAGTCTTCTACAGATTTGCAGTCAAGGTTTGCAGGACGATTTGGCTGATGGCACTCTGCCCAGACAATCCGGAACAGACTGCAGGCAGCCAATCTCCAGTTTCATAGGGTTGCCAGGAGGCCTGCCATGACTGCCCTTCACTGTCAGGCCCATTTGTGCTGGTGTCGGCAACACGTGCACTGGAACCTGAACATGTGGAGGAACGTTATGTTCAGCGATGAATCCAGATTCTGCCTACGGCAGTTGGATCATAGGGTCAGAGTGTGGAGAAGACATGGAGAATGCTTTGTTGATTGCAGCACTGAAAGAGTAATATCTTTTGGTGGAGGTGTGACGGTGTGGGGCGGAATGTCCCTGACTGGAAAAACGAGGCTTGTCATCATTGGAGGCAATCTCAATGCAGAGAGTTATTGAGATAAAATTCTGCAACCAGTGGCAATTGCATATCTTCACAGTCTGGGACCAAGCTTTATCCTCCAAGATGACAACACTCGCCCCCACAGAGCGGGGTTTATCAGAGACTACCACCAGAATTTGGGAGTGGAGAGGATGGTATGGCCTGCCAGCAGTCCTGACCTCAACCCCATTGAACACTTGTGGAATCAGCTTGGGCATGCTGTTCGTGCCAGAGTGACCAACACAACCACATTGGCTGACTTGTGACAAATGTTGGCTGAAGAATGGAATGCCATCCCACAGCAGTGTGTGACCAGGCTGGTAATCAGCATGAGGAGGAGGTGCCAGGCTGTTGTGGCTTGTGAGCTGGACACCTCCAAGGCAGAGATTTCCATAGGTAAAATGGTTTGTTGAAACATGCAAATATTTGTTGCTTGACTGGAAATTTACAGAGCATTAAAAATGGGGAGAGGATGTAGTGCGAAGGTGTGATGTAACATGTTACTTTCAAATAAAAGATTTCAGCCATTCTTTCAGTTTTCTCTCTGCTTATTAAAAATCACAAGGAGAATGAGAACATGTGTATAGCAGTCCCTCCAGAATGTCAAGGGCTTTTTTTTTTTTGGGATCATTGTGGTCTAAACATAGACACTAGAAAATAATGGACAAAGCCACTGTGATCACCCATTGGATTGGGGACTCCCATTTTGAAGCCTTGACTTCGCCGTCTTGGTTTTTTGGAGCCAAAAGTGACCATATTTGGGTGAGAAGCTGGCACTGTGGAGGAATGAATGATTTTGTCGCCTCAACTCACCACCAACCTTTGTTGGTCAGCTGCTACATTAAGTGGTAGGAGACCATGGGAATAACGAGCAAACTGTGTCAATATTTAGGATTTATCACTAAGATAAATGCTGCTGGGTGCCGCACCATTTTCTCCTCCTTTCCCAAGAAAACTGAGACTTGTTCACACGTGTGCTCCACGCTGGAGTCTCTTTGTTGTTTACTGTCTACCGGGTTTACTTCTTCTTGTTTGCTCATGACAAT